TGAGTGTCCACACCAGCCTCATGGTGTTTCTGGCCAAAGTAAATGATCTTCAACCCCTTCCCTCCCTTCCCGTCAGTTCAGTAAGTCCTCTTGGCTCCCTCTCCTAAATTCATCCTGATTCTGACCACTTTGCTGTCACATGTCCCACTTAGTTCAGTCCTCATCAGCCCTTGCCTGCGGCACTGCAGCAGCCCCACACACTGGTCTTCGTGCTTCTGTTATAGTCCGTTCTCCCCACAGCACTGAAAATTTTTAAAAGTTTTTAAATTGCATTTTTTTATGCATGTACACATATGTACATGAGTGCATGTGTGCGTGTGTGCGTGCATGTGTGTGTGTGTGTGTGTGTGTGTGTGTGTGTGTGTGTGTGTAGGCATTCATGTCATATGCATGTTGAGCTCTGAAGACAACCTGCAGAAGTTAGTTCTCTCCTACCATGTAAATCCCCAGGGGTGGAATTTAGGTCTTCAGGCTTGTTGACCTTTACCCACTGAGCCATCTTGCTGGCCTAATACCTTAAAAATTCACATTACATACACATCTATAGTCCCAGCTTCTTGAGAGACTGAGGCAGGAGGATCTCTTGAGCCTAGGAGTTCAAGGCCAGCCCAGGCAACATAGTGGGACCCAGATTTAAAAAAAAAAGTTAGATCCTGTCACTTCCTTGTTTAAATATTTCCCACCTCTCCCCCAACCCCCAACAGTGCCAGTTCTCTTAAGAGGAGATGAAATCTTATTATGAGTCTACAAAAGGCACCTTGATTGAGCTCTTCTTATGCCCTGCCCTTCCTTCCTGTAGACTTACTAAGTTCTGTCTGGCCTCTGCACCAGGTCTCTCTGCTGAGAAAATTCATCCAGATTTTGTTTGATTAGGTCCTTATTTACATCTCTGCTCAACTCTCACCTCCTGGACAAGGCCTTCCCTGGTCATCTTGAGTGAGAAGCGCTTCCTCACCCTCAGCCCATCCAGTTCCTAAGTCCCTTCTCCTCATAGTGCTCCTCTTCCTTGTCTTATTCATTCTGTATCTCTAATGCAAGGCAGGGAGCCTGGACTAGGGCAGACACCTAATTGTCATGCATCGCAAATAAGTGTTGCTTCCTGGTCCTAGGAAGCTCTCCAGCCCACACCTCCAGGCCCAGATAGATAACTACAAGGCAGTCCTGGCTTCTGTTGCCAGAATTTGACTGTGACCATCTACTGCATGCTTTCATAACGTCTAGTCTTCCTTCAAGGCCCTTACAGCATGTGTCTGTGGTTGATTAAAGCCTGCTTCTCAGCAGACTGAACTAACTCCATGGAGACAGAGCAAGTCTCTCACTCATCACTTCCTTCTGGTTATCCAGCACATCTGTTTGTTGAGTGGATGAAGGAAGGAAGGAAGTACCCTAAATGCACTAGGGTCTTCTCAGTGTTGGGGGCTCCCTCTGTGATTTCATCAGTATGTGGACATAGATGGAAACCTCAGGGAACTTGTGGCCCAGTGGCACTGCCTCATGTTGCCCTGTTATTCAGGCCGCCTTTGATGTTGTCTTTTTCCCACTTTTAGCCATTCATTGACACTTTCCACAATGGGGAGTAAAGTCCAGGAACACTTTCAGCTCTCCGCTCATGTCATTACTTCTGTCTTTTTTTCATTTGTCCAATAAATAACATTATGTTTTAAAAGTGAAGCCTGCCAGGCATGGTGGTGCACGCCTTTAATCCTAGCACTTGGGAGGCAGAGCCAGGCAGGTCTCTTTTTAATCCTAGCACTTGGGAGGCAGAGCCAGGCGGGTCTCTGTTGAGTTTGAGGCCAGCCTGGTCTACATAATGAGTTTCAGGCCAGCTGGGGCTACAAGGAGACTGTCTCAAAAAGACAAAAAAAACAAAACAAAACAAACAAACAAACAAACTGAAGCCTGGCCGCATATAATTAATTGAAAGATGTTATTATCAACCCTAGTGGACTTAGCAGTAGATGAGGAACATTTACCTCCAAAATTCAGATCCTTTTTCTGTCACTGGATGGTTTTGAGCAGTGCTTTAATTTTGGGTAACTGACATGTTTTCTGTATCTACCAAGACTCAATCTTAGCAAGTGAGCTCAGTAGTGTGATTCCCATGCCTACTAGTAAGTAAGGCTGTTGACTGGTCTTTTTGCTTGTTTGCATGTTTTTAATTTTTGAGACAGGGTCTCAGGTTGCATAAGCTAGCCTTGAACTCACTGTGTAGTGGTAGCTAGGCAAGTGTTCTACCACTGAGCTGCATCCCCAGCTAGAATTTTGTTTTTTGTTTTGTTTCAGATGAGGTCTTGCTGTATTCCTAGGTATATTACTTCAAACTCCTGAGCTTGGGTCTGGATGGCTCAGCAGTTAAGAGCACTGGCTGCTGGGGGCTAGAGAGATGGCTCCGTGGTTAAGAGCCATCTCTTAAGCTAGCTGCTCTTGCAGAGAACCTGGATTTGGTTCCCAGCACCCACATGGTGGCTAACAACTATTCATAACTCCAGTTCTAGGGGAATTCAACACTCTCTTCTGATCTCCATGGGCATTGCACAACATGGTTGCACTTACGTACATGCAGGTAATACACTCATACACATAATAAAAATAATAAATAATTTTTTTTTTTAAAGAGCACTGGCTGCCCTTCCAGAGGACCCAGGTTTGGTTCCCAGCACCCACATGGCCACCAACAATTCTCTGAAACTCTAGTTCCAGGGGATCTGACATCCTTTTGTGACCTCTGTGGGCATTGTACAACATGGGTGCACTTACATACATGCATTCAAAACACTCATAAACAATAAAAAATAAATAAATAAATAACACAGTATATATCCTAGACTTGTCTTAAACTTGGGATCCTGTTACCTCAGCCTCCAGAGTGTTGTGATTATAGGCATATGTCATGATATCTGGTCAAGTACCAGCAATTCTTAAAAGGACATCTAATGCTTAGGAACATAGGTTTCTAAAAATACCTAAATTTATAAGAATACCCCCCTATATCAGGTAAAGAATCTATAATTGAGAGGGTACAAATGTGAAATGCTTGCTTGATTGTTGGGCTGTACCATTTCTCACCAGGTACTGCAGAAATCATTGTCTTACTGATGATTACCATGAGCTAACACAGTCATCACAAGGCTTTCTTCATGGGCAGAAGTCATTGTCTGTCTACAAAATAGTATCTGAGTTTTGGACAAGAATTCAGTATTTAAATGAATATAACCAAAATCATCTTAAAGCTTGGAACTGGTGAGATGGCTCAGTGGTTAAGAACGCTTGCTGTTCTTGCAGAGGACCTAGGTTCATTTCCTAGCACCTACATGGCAGCTAACAACTCTCTGTAACTCTAGTTCCAGGGGAATCTGATACCCTCTTCACACCTCTAAGGGTATTGCATAACACAGGTGCACTTACATACATGCAGGTAATACACTCATGCACAAAAAAAATATAATAAATATTTTTAAAAATTATCTTAAAAGCTCACAGCAGACACCTAGGGGTTTATTTTGCTTTGTGTTTGTGTTTATGTTTGCTTTTGAGTTTTTTTTTTTTAATACCTTCAGATGATGCCCTGGCACTTGGCAGCCATTCACAGTGTAGTCTATCTGCTGTTGCTCTCTTGGCTTATGGATTACATCAGCTTGCTCCACTGGTATATGCTAAAATGTCACAAGCACATTTGGAAATTCCCTTTCCACTTAGTTTCTTGTCTTCAAGAAGCCATTCTTCACCACATCGCCTCACTCCCAGCACCAACTAAACTGTTTTGTCCTGTTGCCTTTTGGCTTCCTTTTTGCTGAAGTTCCCAACACCCAAGCACAAATGACATTTATAGGTCAAAACTGCAGAACATTCCCAAGAGATGTGTGCATTGTGTACTTGCCCTGGAATTAGCATCATCAGCGAGCCCCTGTATGTATCATGTGCTTCTTCTTGGGTTTCACACAGCTTAGTACATTTGATCCTTAAAGTGGTCCTGTGACTACGGCCTCACTCAGCATATGAAGCTCCTGTGGCTCAGAGAAGCTAGATGGTTTGGCTATTGCAGCAAAGTTGGAGCTAAAAACCTACATCTCCTGCCCCCAGCTTTCCCACTAGCCTGTGCTCCACCCCCAGTGATATATTTTGAAATAGTGATCTCATTCTGGAGCTGAGAAATAGTTTTTCTCAAGGAGGTTTCTGTTGCGGTCATTATAATGGGACCTGACTTGGAAAGGGACTTCTGGCGGTAATCTAGAACACATGAGATTAACTTTGTATTCAAACCCATAAGGCTTTAGGATTCATTCATATTTATTGAATACCTATTACATGACAGGCACCAAAGACATAATGGAGATCAACATGCATGCTCCTTGCCATCAGGATGTCTGGTGGAGAGAGGGCAAATGGGTAGTTGCATTGTTTTTTTTTTCTTTGTGTGTGTGGGGGGGGTACATACGTGTGAGTATGCAGTGTGCATGCACATGCATGCAAAGGCCAGAGGAGGACCTCAACTGTCTTCCTCTTTCTCTCCAGGCCTTATTCTTTTCAGATAAGGTTTCTCACAGAGCTGGAAGCTCACTGTTTCTCAGCTAGGTTAGCCATCAAGTCCTGTCTTCATCCTATAATGTTAAGGTTATAGGTGCAGGCAGCCATGTCCAGCTTCAGTTGCAATATTTTATAAATGCCCACTGGTGGCTATGCCATGCAGCATGGGAGCACATGGTAGGGACATTTAACCCAAACTTAACAGATGAGGAAAGTTTCCTAGAAGAAGGGACCTCTCTGTCGAGGTGTGAAAGATGAGTTTTAGCCAGATTAGAATTGGAGTAGGGTAGACTATAAAGTTGCTAGAAGGTGAAAAGGGAATATCAAGACATGAGGGTGAGAATGTGGGCCATGTTGCCTCTGTTATTGTTATGAGGTAAGATTTCATGATCCAGCAGTTGGGAAGACTTAAGCAGATCACTGGTAAGGTCCTCAAATATGCTCAGAAGATAACCTTTCTTATGATTTCTTAATAGAAAAAGTTGGAGTCCCCACCACCATCTACCAATCCCTTCCTGGAAGACGAGACAGTGCCAGAGATGGAGGAGTTGGTGCTGGAAAAAGGAGAGTTAGATCAAGTAAGTCTGCTTGTGTTGCCTTGTGTAACCTGGCTGCTGTTCCTTCTGAAAATGGACTGGCTCACTTCAGTCCATTCTTTGGCTGTTGACTACATTCAGAGGTCACAGCAACGGTGGGCTTTATACAAGGCCTTGGTGAGTGCATTCAGAAGGCAAAGAGTAGCCCTTCCTGCCTCTGTTCTGTTATAGAAAAGCCTCCCCTCAGCATTTAGCACCACACACGTTCCTCTCAGCCTGTACACAGTGCTGCTCAGTACTGTTCTGCCACAGTCAGTTCCTAGGTCTGTCAGGCAGCCTTCCGTTCTTCTCTCATCTGGTGCTGTGATGATGTGAGATGCTGTGAAGTTAGCAGCACCGTGGGCTAGGAGAGGCTTCCACACAAAGGAAGCTGATAGCATTAGGTCTGGAAGCCATTGGGGAGGCCTTGGAAATATCAAGGTGACCAATGGCATCTTTGGGGAGTTACTTTTCAGAGCACACTAACACTTTCATTTCCTTTAGATTTTTCTGCCCAACTCTAAATTTCCTCTCCCTTCATCCTACAGAATGGTATTTTTGTTTCATTGCCATTTTATGACAGGCGATGTTAGAGCAGTAAATCAGCCCGTTTCCTTTCTGGATTAGTGCTCCTTTTTAATTTTCTACACTTGGCTGCTAGAGGATCATTTGATGGTATTGTTTCTCTCCAGACACCAGGAAAAGGGAGGTGACTGGGAGACCAGCTTGGGGAAACCCACAGCCACACAGTACACAGCTAGCGCTGCATTCCAAGCATGGCAAGGTTAGGTGCAATCTTGACCAGAGCCCAGACAGCACAATTCCTAGGAAGAGTTAAATGTGTCTGCTCCATTGATTAAATAATTGTAATAACATGGATACCTCACATTTTTAGAGCACTTTGTAATTTAGAAATCCTTTACATGCTTTCTTTCATTTCGCCTTCACAGCGCCTGCCTCTGGCTTTATAGGTGATCCAACTACAGCTCCAAGAGGCTAAATAAATTGCCTGGGGTTATTAGTTTGGAAGTGAAGAGGCTGAGTCTAGAAATCAGAAGCTAGAATTCCCTCCTAAGGTTTCTGTCTTCCTTTTTTTTTTTTTTTTTTTTAAACCTTCCTGTTTTATTAGAAAGTGGAGACCATAGTGGCAAAATTTATAGGTAAAAGTAAATGAACAAAACTGGAGCTCTTTTGTGTCTGTATCCCAGAGATGCAGGACTGGATGTAGCTGATTTAAATCCCTCATATCATTGGCCAGCACAGAAAGGGAAATACTTCTAACTCTAATGCAGTTCTCAATTTGGGAGCAAGCACTCCCAATGGAGGGGCCTCATTCTTTTAGCAAATTCCGTGTCACTGGGCCACCTGTACCTTAGAAGAATTCCTCGAGCAATCATGCTGTGCCCTCAGCTCTCTCCCATGCTAGCAGCTGTCATGATCAGAATCGTACAGTTTGAGCACTCAGATGCTTCTCCTGCTACCCTGATGTGATCCCTGTATTTGGTCACCTCTGAGTGTCATTATATTAAATTATGACCTTATCTAGGCAGTTTTGCCAGGTAAAATATGATGGGGGGTGGAGTCTTGGAACTTTTTTCTCATCATGAAAGCTTGAAGTGATTATTGTAAGACCTAAGACCTATTTGTTCTAAGACCAAGAGAACAAGATATTAAGATAGGTGGGGTCAAGTAGAGTCCTATGGCGGAGAAAATGTTGGTCTTCCATCTGCTACTCACAGGCTCTGTGACCTCAGATAAGTTTTTTGTAGTCTCTTGACCTTCCTGCATTCTATATCTTTAGAGAAGGCTAGCTATTTTCAAGCTGTAGTCTTTGCTGGCCCACCCAATGGCACTGTGGTGAATAGAGGAGACAGGGACCAAGGTTCCTTCAGTTAGAGCAGTTCCATTCTGAGTTGCTTCGTATGTGGATTCTAGGTAAAGTTTATTTTAAACCTGAGGTTTTACATTTATTTTAAACAAATAAAAACTAATAAAAAAATCCCCAATCTAGATGATCTACCCTTAATTCATGAGCTGTTCTTCTTTAGTAATAAAACACATAAATGATCCCAATATGTCATCCCCCACCTCCCACTGCCTCATCAGCACTTGTCTGCCTAGATGGAGCCCTAGACTCTCCCTCTTCTCTAGTTGACTGCTGGAGTTGAGTACCATGGAAAAACAGGAGTTCTTGAGGGGTGTTGGAAAGAGACTCACAGGGTTAGCAGGAAATCAGCCAGAGATGGTGTGGGACCTTTTGTCCTGGGTTACTCAAGCCATTACCTTGCTGCAGTCAGCGGACAGTTGGTCCTCAAGGTCAGGGTCAGTCCTTGCTTACTGCTGCAGTTTATGCCTGGCTTTTGAAAAGCAGTGTTCACTTCATGAGAATACCTGAGCACTCAGTTGCCAAGATATTTCCAGTGATAGAAAATGACATCTGAAAGGGGACTGAAGGCACAGGAGGAGAGAGAAGAAATCAGGAATTTCTGTTTTAAAAATGTACCCTTCTGGTGATCTGAACAGTTAGATTTAATCTGTTTATATTGGATACTAATAAAAGGAAATGGGACCAGCTGCAGACCTCCTTACTGTGACAACAGTAACCTTTTATTATTCTATTAAACTCCAGGAGGAAATAGCTTAAACATCTGCAGCTTTTGGATAGAATTCACACACTCAGCAGTCCAGCGGAGTGCTACTGCTAAATGACTTAGTGTGTTCTTTAAGCCGAGGATCAGCCCTTGGGGGAGCTGCCTGGTGCAGTGGGAGACACCAGTGTGAGCTGAAATTCTGGCACCTACCAGCCTAACATGAGCACATTCATAGAGCAGCTGTGGGTAGGGGAGGCCCTGTGGAGAAATAGTAAGAAAAACAAACTTATCCCCAAGGCAGAAGCAGAGAAGACACCTGGAGGTGGGGTTTGGACAGCCCTATCTGGTAACACAGTTTTCTGAGTGTTCTAGGGACCTGGTCATGCACAGGACCTGTGAAGATCTGTCTAGATGACTTTGTTAGAGTGTCATAGAGCCATTATGTCTCACCATATAGAGTCTGTTATTTATATTTACCAAATGAGCCTTATAGACTTATTCAACCATATGTTTTTAAACTCTATAATACTGCTTTGTGCATACATAAAAAGGAAACAATAAATAAATTCCTAAAAAACTCACATGCAGGGTTGGGGATTTAGTTCAGTGGTAGAGCGCTTGCCTAACAAGCGCAAGGCCCTGGGTTCGGTCCTCAGCTCTAAAAAAAAAAAAAACCTCACATGCAGAATCCAGCATTTGGAAGCACTTGTTATAAAACTATATTTTGCCAGGCAAAGCAGCATACATCTGTGGCCCCTCCTACTCAGGAGGCTGAAGCAGGTGGCTCAATTTTGAAATAATTACAGACTCATAGGTATAAATAGCAAATAAAGGCTGAGAATATAGCTCACTTGGTGGAGTGCTTGCTTAGCATGCGGAGACCTCTGGGTTTAATCTCCAGTACAACATAAAACCGGGTGTGATGATACATGCCTCCAGAACACTGGTTGTTCTTACGAAAGACCCGGATTCAAATCCCAGCACCCACATGGCAGCTAACAACTGTCCATAACGCCAGTCCAAAGGGATCCAACAACCTCTTCTGTCCTCTGAGGGCATTGCACGACACAGGTGCACTTACCTACTTGCAGACAATACACACATACACATAAAATAAAAATAATAAATAAAATTTTTTTTAAGTTTAAAACAAATTTTATTTATTTATTTATTTTTCTTCCATGTGTATGAGTGTTATGCCTCCATGTAAGTGCACCCATGTCATGCAGTACCTATGGAAGACAGAAGAGAGAGTCGGATTCCCTGGAACTGTTGTTACAGACAGTTGTTAGGTGCCCTGTAGGTACTGGGATTCGAACCTGGGTCTTCTGCAAGAGCAGCCAATGCTCTTAATGGCTGAGCCATCTCTCCAGCCTGACATTTGATTTTTTTAATGAATATTATCAGTTTTTACAGGTACTGTAAAACAGTGTAGTGTTTTATAAATAACCACAAGCTAAGAGAAAGGCAGCTATTATTTCTGTCTGTCATTGAGGGGGTAGCTTTCCAGTAAGTGCCTTTGGAGGCCAGAAGAGAGTGTTGGATCCCCTGGAACTGGAGTTACAGATGGTTGTTTGCCACGACATGGGTGCTGGGAACCAAACCTGGGTCCTCTGCGAGAGCAGCCAGTGCTCTTAACCACTCTGCCATCTCTTCAGCCCCTATTTTTTTTCTTTTGATTTATTTATTTATTTTTAAATTATTTATTTAATAACCACATAATTAGAAGCATTTCATTACAATAACATTGACATATTGACATATTCAATAACAATTTCCAGAGCTAAGATGTGTCTCT